GCGAGACTCCGTCTCAAAAAAAAAAAAAAAAAAATAGCACCTGCCATATATTAGGAGCTCAATAAATGCTAGTGATTATTGTTACTTCTAGCAAACGCTAAATCTGCTGTTTGATAGTTTCCCATCATACATGCCCATAAGTTACCTCTTCACCTTTCTTCATATCTGTCCTGGTGTGTCCAGAACAACCTACCGAAGAAAGTGCCATTTGAGTCTCTATCCTCCTGCTTCTGCTGCTGTTGCTGCTGCTGTTGTTGCTGCTCCCTCAACTGCAGTGACTCCTGACAAACATAAATGGTTAACCTTGGACGCACCATCCTAAGGGGAGGAAAAAGGCTAATTAGTCTTACATTCTTTATGGTAAGCACAATAAAAAGGGAGAAATTGTGTTTCTACATTAATCATATAGAGCAGATGAAAATTGGAAGCTCACTGGCCAAATGCAATTAATTTGCTATGTTTTATTAGTTCCCCAATGGTAAGGGTTTTTTTTCCTTAAGTGGAATTAGTTCCAATATGAGACATCATATAAACCTCTGAACTTTTGGCTTTTCCTGAATATCTAGCAATCTTAGGCCTGCATTCTCACATGAAAACAATCAGCTGTTCTTACATAATGCATATATTCTTCACTATACCCCAGTCTTGACTGCCATTCATTTACATTACCTGTATGTCCTCTATAGTCATTTGAGTTTGCGGCCTTTGGTGTAAAAGTTAGACACAGTCAAAATATAAAAGCCTTATGTCTTTTTGGGTCAGGTTCAAGATATACTTCTTACTAAAAAATACCAACACAGTAAACTAGATCATCTTATTTCTCTCATTATCTTCTCCTAACTAGCCTAAATCCTTTTTCTGCTCTTCTTAGAGAAAGGTATTCAACTACCTCTTGATCTGATCCTCTGAATCCTTCCAATTTCTAAACATTCTTTAGATAATATGCTTTAAAAAATGAAAGATCAATTATTTTTCCCCAAGTCATCAATCCCTGATTTCCCTTCTTTCCTTAAAATTTTCCAAGCTTCAACATCCCTTATGATGTAGACAAAAACAAATATGACCAGGCACGGTGGCTCACACCTGTAATCCCAGCACTTTAGGAAGGCGAGTTGGAAGGATTGCTTGAGCTCAGGAGTTTGAGACCAGCCAGGGGAACATGGCAAAACTCCGCCTCTACAAAAAGTACAAAATTAGGCGGGCATGGTGGTGCGTGCCTGTAGTCCCAGCTGCTCAGCGATCTAGATAGGAGGATGGCTTGAACCCAGGAAATTGAGACTGCAGCGAGCCATGATTGCATTCCTGCACTCCAAGCTGGGTGACAGAGCAAGACCCTGTCTCAAGAAAGAAAACCCAAAACAAAAGCAAACCAAAAATAAATACTGCGCAATCTGTTTTACTATGTAGTCACTGATTTGGTTCTGTTGCCATTGACCTAAATGCTTTTTTCATCAGTGTTACTACTACCTATTTAAAATTGTAAATCCCAAAAGAGGACCAAAAATTACCATGTATTTTAACAACTGCAGGGAGACACTTAAGTAATTACTACCCACATTTGCCTGGCCCGGTGGCTCATGCCTGTAATTCCAGCACTTTGGGAGGCTGAGGCGGGCGGATCACAAGATCAGGAGAGCGAGACCATCC